AACATTACAGTGACCTCCAAAGCCCTACCTGATAGGACCCTCTGTATCTCTTTGTTCTTATTTCCTGCTTGCATACTACATTTAGCTGTGCTTGCTTTATGCTATTTTTCAAATTTTTCAGATATATTTTTATGTTAGGGCTTTGGCCCTGCCTGTTCACTGTTCCTCTAGAACACTCTTCCTCTAGTTATGGCTAATAATCACCTTCAGGTTTCTGCTCATTGGTCACTTTTCATATGAGGCTTGGCCTTATTACTTATATAAAATTACGTATCTTCTCCCCATACTTGGCTCTCTGGATCTCCCTTACTATGTTTTACTGTCTCTTTCTCTTATATAGTATTTAACCATTTCTAACATAGAATATATTTTACTTGCTTCATTATGTTTCTCATTTTACTAACATGTGAGTGCCACAAAGGGCAGAACTTTCATCTGTTTTGCTAGTTATTAGTGTGTATGTGTGTGTGTGTGTGCATGTGCAAGAATCTTCAGTAGTGTCCAGTGTATAGTAGATACTTAGTAAATGCTTTTAAATTAATAAAGGTTGAAGGGCTAGAATTCCGTTATTTAAAAAAAAAAACTTATTTATTCTTGTGTAGAAGTATTGGGGTGTTTGTAGGCCAGAGGTTGGAGGGAGGAGTAAGAGGATTCACCAGAGACAGAGTGGGAAGCAGAGCAGGCGAATTTATTGAAATACATTGCTAAGAGGAGCAGAGGGTGAGACAGAACAAGTCTGCTGAGCTATATGGGTCACCTCCCTGGCTGGGGATCAAACTTAGGCCAATCTCCGTGGGAGATTGCTGTCTTGATGATAGTGCTGAGATTTTTACTCCTAGCCCACCAGGGAGGCCCAGGGCTAGAATTCTTAATGAGGTCAAAGAAATAGCTGATTAAAAGTAAAGAGGTAGCAGTATAGGAGTTTGTGATTAGAGACAGACCCTGGGAATGCAGCTGTAAGCAAAGCAGTAAAAACTCCTGCTCTTATGGATTTTACCTTTTAGCTGGGAAAATATATAATAAACCTTGCTAAATAAAGTATATATTTTTGTTCGATAGTTGGTTATACTAAGGACAAGGGAGATTACCATTTTATATAGGCTGACTATGAATGTGCCATTTGAGTGGAGATCTGAAAGCTACACAGGGTAAGGATATTCCAGGCAGAGGTATGATGTATTTATTATTACTTGCTAAGACTGGCATCAGAGTCAGGATATGTGAAGAAATAGCCTGTAAGGAGAACCTATTGTAGGTAAACAAGGAGGGTAATTAACATTCTTTACTAGCCACCTTCTAGAACAGAATCATTTTTTTTCGCACAGTGAAAGAGAATGATCCATTGTTTAACTATTGCTTTTGCAAATTATATCTTTGTAAATTTAGAAAGTCATTCAAGAACTAATGATAATGATACACGTTATTCTTTAAAAACAACTCATTACTTTTAGTGGACAGCAGAGGGAACCATTTTGCCAGTTAGCTAAATCTAGAGGAAGCTTGTTTAGTGCTTAAACCCTTTCATTTACTATGTTATGATAAAAGCAGTTCCTTTGATTTTTTTAAAATCAAACTTTGTTTTCTCCCAGAGTTCTGTTAATATTTATTTGCATGGCTATATTGGTATAAGTAAATTAGATAGAATATTCATGAAATTTAGAAGAATTAATAAATAATATAAAAATTTTCAGAGGATATTGCATTTATCTAAATCATTTTGGTTTTTTTTATTACTTGCCAGCTAAATAGTAGTATTGATAATATACTATCACCTGTCTTTTTAGATTATACCTTTGAATCTTAAAATTCTGGGTTTTTTTTTTCCTGCTTATTCTCAATTGTGTTTTATAGCACAATATATATTGCTATTTGAATTTAGTTTGCTATAGAAGTCTAATTCTTAGTGTTATATTCCAGTGGAAGTTCCTGGTTTCCTTATTAGTACCTTGAATGTTTTCTGCATTTTCTGACTGTATAGCACCAATTTGTCAATTGCCACCGTTTTCCTTTGTTAATGCCCCTTTTTCCCTTTCTTTATGTAGTAGCAGACACCTCGACTTTTAACTCCTTCACGAAGTACATGTAACACTCCTTTCTTACCAGATTTACCAAATTTATTAGTATTATTTATTTGTCAATACTTTGATCAAGTTAACTTTTGCCCAGCTGACTTTCAGAATGATTTTTAAGAATTGAATTTAAAATATTTAATTAAAATGACTTTGAAGCCTAGGTGGGGGAACTTTCAGATTACAAAGGTGTAATAGGTAACAGTGACAAAGTTTGGGATGATGAGATTGGATTAAAAGGGGCATTTTAAAAAAAGAACCAACCTAATAAATGATTTTTTTAAAAGATTTATTTTTATTTATTCGTACAGAACTGGGGTACAGGCCAGAGATGCGGAGGGTGAGAGGATGCACCTGGGACAGAGTGGGGAGCAGAACAGGCAGATTGATGAAGTACACTGCTGAGGGGAGCAGTGGGCGAGTCAGGAGAGGTCTGCCACGCCATGTGGATGTCCTCCGGGGCAGGCGGGAATCGAACTGATGCGGAAGTGACTCAAGCTTCTTAATGTAGTGCTTTAACCCGCTGTGCCACCAGGGAGGGCCCATAAATGATTTTTTAAAAAAATTTTGTCTTCATGAAAGAATTAGTTGAGGGCTTCTTTATTGTTTTTCAGGTGATTTTTTGGATCATTTGTTTTTTTTTTTTTTTTTTTTTTTTTTTTTTTTTAAAAAAAAATGTTTGTCATGGATGGAGCTGGAAGGGATTATGCTAAGTGAAATAAGTTCAGAAGGGGAAAAGAAAAACATCAAATGGTTTCACTAATAGGTAGAAGATAGGAAAATCAAACTAAGGACTAGGAAAAAGATAAAACTTGCAAACTGACCATAGATTTGACCCATATATTAGTGGAGGGGGAGGGAAAGTGGTCAGAAAAGGAGAGAGAAAAGTACAAGGGTCTGTGGTGATGGTTCAGGGATGCTATGGTGGCTGGAGAACTACAGGAACTACACCTGAAAGGAGAAACCAAATATTGTACAAAAATAAGCAATGATGTAAGAAAATAAATTTTTAAATTAAAAATAAATGCTATTGGGAACTGTGCTGGAAAAATGTGAATAAGGTGTAGTGCACACTTTTGGTCTTCAGGATAGTGAATACATTTCAACAGTGGTTTCACAGTTGAAGGCAAGGGTGACTTTGAGGTGGGCTTAGGAATGGAATTGGTCAGGAAAGCCTTAAAGAGGCCAGAAATGCTGGTCTTTGAAGCAGGTGAGCTGCAGCTTGCAAGGCAAATGATAATGGTTGTAGGGCATTCCAAAGAGTTCACTCCTAGACAGGCTACCTAGGTTTAAAAGGTTCTGATATTTATATTGTATTCTTAGGCAATTGTGTATTTGTTTTCACATTTGTAAAATGGGGAGAATAACTGCATTGATTTTGTAGGGTTGGATAAAATGAATATACAGAAGACATTTAAAACAGTGCCTGGTATATACTAAACAATTGGAGCTTAAGTTTTCATGTTATTCTAGAGATCTAGGGTATAGAGTTGGTAGGCTATTGGGGTTTTATTGAATGTGTTAAAAAAAAAAAAATTGAACAAGGGCTCTCCCTGGTGGCACAACGGGTTAAAGCACAGCATTTTGAAGCTCTCAGAAGCCACTGCAGCAAGAGTTTGATCCTTGGCCAGGGACCTGACCCACATGGCGTGGCAGACCTCTCCTGACCCGCCCACTTCTCCCCTCAGCAGTGTATTTCAGTAGATCTGCCCACTCTGTCTCTGGTGAAACATCTGGCCTGTACCCCAGTTCTATAAGCAAAAATAAATCTTAAAAAAAAAAAATGAACAAGAGCAGTTATTCTTAGTCACCTGGGGATTTAAAATGTGTTGTTATTAGGTCCCACCTTAGACTGATTTAATAAACATCACTGGTGATTCTAAAGTTCAGTAGGGATGAGAGCTACTAGCATAGAACAATTTCCAGGCTTCTGGCTTGGGCGACAGGTGATGGTGTCATTTACTAGGATAAAAAGCAACTTCAAAGAAAAGATGTTGCTTTTAACATACCACTTGGACTTTCAACATTTGCATGCTTTAGCTTTCTGTAACTAAGGAATATCTTTTAAATACTGGTTTCTGGCCCTCCCTGGTGGCACAGTGGGTTAAAGCACTGCACTAAGAAGCTTAAGCCACTTCTGCATGAGTTCGAACCCCACCTGCCCCGGAAGTGACCACATGGCGCGGCAGACCTCTCCTGACCCGCCCACTGCTCCCCTCAGCAGTGTACTTCGTCTATCTGCCTGTTCTGCTTCCCACTCTGTCTCTGGTGAATCCTTTTGCCCTCCGCATCTCTGGCCTGTACCCCCGTTCTGTATGAATAAATAAATCTGTAAAAAAAAAAAATACTGGTTTCTGAACTGGGTATCATAAATGACCAGGACTATATGACTTTAGTGTTTTCGTGTGTGCACTTTATATGTTTGAATTTCTCGGTGCATATTATCTGCTGCTGTTTCTTCTCTTTGGACTTAATTAACCACCTTTCAGTGTACCCTGTAATTTACATATTTATTAGGTTTGTTTGACTCTCTTTTAAACTTTCTTGTTGATTGCTCCCTACTCCCCTCACCTAGCCTCCTCCAGCCATCAGTACTTCTAGAATGCAAGTTCATCCGAGCACTGATCTTTAATGTTTTTGTTCATCAGTCCTGAATTCCTGGTACTAGTGTATAATACATATTTTATGAATGAATGAATGCATGCGTGCATGCATGAATGAATGATTTTGTTTCTTTACAGATTCCTGACTCTGCTCCAGAGTAAATGAGTTGTTGTGGACCAGATTTTCAGAGATATCCATGAAAACTATTTTTTTCCTGTATTTAATTTATAAACACGGAAAACATTTTTATTTGCAAATGTTATAAGAATATAGTTGAGCAAATACTTCTCAATACATCTTAACAGTGAAAACTTTTTGTTTTGGTAGGAACCACCAAAGCCACCTCTAAATAATTTTAAAGTGGGGATGAAACTGGAAGCTATAGATAGAAAAAATCCGTATCTCATCTGCCCTGCAACGATTGGAGATGTTAAAGGAGATGAAGTTAATATCACATTCGATGGCTGGAGTGGAGCGTTTGATTACTGGTGCAAGTATGATTGTCGAGATATTTTTCCAGTCGGGTGGTGTCGCCTAACAGGAGATGTATTACAGCCACCGGGAACTAATGGTAAGCCAATAAGTAATCACATGTTCTTTTCTTTTATTGAAGTTATCTCACTGTAATTGGCATGTACTTGTGAAAGTCTGTGTATTCTCTGGCTACTACCTTGGTTAATGGCAGAACAGCCCTACTCACTACTCTTTTTTTCAGGAGCCCTTCACTCTTCAAGGATAGCTGCTGGATATAGAATTCTAGGTTGACAGTTCTTTTCTCACAGCACTTGAAAGAATGCCTTGTTACTTTATTCTGACCTTCATAGTTTCTAATGAGACGTTTGCTGTTACTGGAATTGTTTCTTCCCTATAGGTTTCTGTTATGATTATGGATATGTTTTTCCTTATTCATCTGTTTCCTGTATGATTTATCTGTTTTTGTGGTTGCATCAGGTGTCTATACATCTTGAACTGTTACAATTTCTTAGTCAGTTGAACCTTCTGCAGTAACCCTCTATCTATGGTAACTTTTTTTTTTTTAATCATAAAGTGCTTTATCTTTTATGTAGCTATATCAGCTTTTGTTTGGTCAGTATTCTTGTTCTCACTCTCTTACTTTCACTGTTAATGTTCAATTTTTAGCTAGCCTTCTCTAAAAAGATGCATTTCTTGCAGAGAGTTGGATTTTGATTTTTTTTTTTTGCCAGTCAGCCATTTGTTTTATAACTGGAGCTTTTAATCTGTTTATATTTACTATAGTTACAGATATAATCATCCTACTTTTTCTATGATTTATTTTCCTCTGGTGTTCTTTTTGGATTTTTTTTTCTCATTTAATTTCTCCCCTCTTCTTATTTGAAAATTTTACACTATATTTTCTGTTCTTTTAAAACTTTAGTAAACATGCTTTCTTTTATTTTGATAAAGTTGGATTATATCATTTTACTTGTTGTAGAGGTTATAGACTGTGCTTTCTTAACTTTAATGGAAGTCTAAAATTCATATCTTTACTCTTCTGTACAAAGACAATAAAGGGGACTTAGGATACTCTACCCATTTATCCCCTTCAAATTTATGTTATTGTGGTATATTTTTATTATCTTTTTTGTAATCTTACAAGCCATTATTCTGTTTATGTGGTCAATATTTGTTGTGCTTCACCAATATATTTGACATGTTTTTTGTTTCTTACTCCTTTTTAGCATCTCAAACCTTACATCTGGAATTAATTTTCTTCTCTCTGGGATAAAGTGGCACACACTACTAGTTTATGTTTATCTAAATATATTATTACTTCAACTTCATCTTAGACATTTTCTTTGAGTGTAGAATTCTAGGTTGACAACTGTTTTCTTTTAGCACATTGAAAGTATCATTTTTTGCCTTTTGGTTTCTGTTACTGAGAATTGCGAACTTTTCTTTTGACTGTAATCAATCTTTTTTTTTTTCTCTCTGTCTACCTTAATATTTTCACATCATTTTTAGTGTTTTACAGTTTCAGTCTAATACTTCTAGACATGGGTTTCATTTAATCTTGATATTCTTACAAACCATGCATACACAAAGAATAAGTGGTATATTCATTGTAAAAAACGTGAAATGTTTGATGTTAAATTTAACTGTTTTATCAATAGTAGAGATTTCAAATCGTGCAAGTAATTTGGTGTTGTGAAACACTTTTGGTGACTGCTTTTTGAATATAAATAATCCAGGTCATGTTGAAATAGAATTTGGAACCAGGTGAATAGAAATAAAGATGTGTCCATTGGCACACATTGAGTAGAAACTACCTCAAATTCTGAATTTTAATCTTCCCATGCTGGTGATATGCAGTACTGATAATGGCTAGCAGTAATTAGCAACAGTTCCCAGCCAACCATGCCCTTTAATTCAATAAATTACTCGAGATATTCAAAACTTTATAAAATGGACTTTGTGTTAGATGATTTTGCCCAACTGTAAATTAATATGAGTTTTCTGAGTATGTTGAAAGTAGGTGAGGCTCAGCCATTAGTTATATAAATGTGTTTTCAGCATATACTTCCCATTTATTGTGGGCTTATGTGCATGTAACTTCAACTGTAAGTCGAGGAAAATCTATACTTTGACATAATTAGCAATTTTAGTTTGAAAAAGGATACTTTGCATATTCTTTCTTAGGTACTTTTTTTATAATGTACCTAAGAAAGTTTTTATGTGTTCCCATGTATCCCTATAAAGTAAATATTTATTTCTATGTTTTATTGTATCATGATTATACCATACTTTATTTGGCAAAGATGATAGATGATATGATGAATAGACCTTTGTATACCTATGTTTATATAGCATAAATTTGCTGGGTCAAGGGTTATATTTCTAAGCCTGTCAAATGGTCTTTCAGAAAAATTCACACATTTCCACTCCTCTCAGAGGTGGGTGAAGGTGAAGATTTTTTCCCTCCGATATCTTGATTTTGTTATTTAAAAAAATTTTCCAGTTTAAAAGATGTTAATTTAAAAATTTTCACTTCTTACATTACTATGAATGAAAAGGTTGAATCTTTTTCTTTCCATGTATTTTGACTTTGGTATTGTTTAGAATTTTTTCTCTAGTCACCTTTTCCATTTCTTCTTAGCGTGTTCCTTGTTGATTTGTTTGAATACTTCATTTGTGGCGCATAACAACCTTTTGTCAAAGAAGTAAAAACTTTCTTCAGTCATTTGCTTTCAACTGTTATGACCTTTGAAAAAGTACAGATAGAGTAAAAGTATTGACTTGAATATTAAATAAGGGACTTGGAGTTAAATAATTTCAGAAGACATAAGTAATATTAAACGCTATAAAATTTTAAAATAACATTATTTTGAATATTTCTTAGACATTTTGGAAATAACATTGGGGTAACCCCACCAGGTATTACCACCAGAGTGCATCTACCACCATCTCACCCATACCATTATGCCTTCCTCCCTTCCTGTTTTTTTCCTCCCCCATCCTCTTTTTTAGTACTTTTGTTATGGTATAAATGAAATACTTGGAAATGTTGTCAAGCATATTACTGTCTCAAAAGCCATGAAATTTAAAATAGCTGATATATGAGAGCTTGGAGCAGATGTTTTTGCTTTTGCAAATGAGATGACTATTATGATGCAAAGAATTACATTGAAAAGCAAACAAATAAATGTCCTTTCTCTGTTTTAAGTATTTCAGTTAAATAAATGCAATAATTGTAAGCAGAGCCTGGAGGTTCTTTCTTGCTTCTGTTTCTGTGATATATTTTAACAAGTTCTCTTGAGACTATTAAAATCTTTTGGTTTTTAGGACATGTGGTCCAGTGGGGATAAGTTTGTCTACAGATGGAATGGATTGGCAGTTAGATTTTGCCTGTCTTCTCATTTCTTTCCAGGTTCTCTGACCCAAGGTAACCTTTGGTTCTTCTTTAAAGGCAGGCTTGAAGGAAGTTTGAGCCAGGTGACTGATGATCACTGCCTATACAGGACACAGACAATATGCGAATTACTTTAGCAGTCCTATTAGTCCCCTCCTCCCACTCATCCTCTTCTCCCCCTCTTCCCCCCCTTAAACCAACAAATGCAAATAGCTTCATTCCCATTTGCTAGAAATTCAGACTTGCTTCAGCAACATGGGCTTTGTTGTTGACTCGTTTTCTTCAGAAAAGCAGTTTTATTTCTGGTAAAGGAGAAAGACTTATCAAGTGGAACCTAAATCTCCTTAATGGTAAATACTGCAAGTACTCTTTCTTTGGAATATTTCTAAAGGTAGGATTTACCCCAAAAGTTTCTTGATGTTGTAGTTGAAGTGTGGTTAAACAGAAATTCATTGTCTGCTTTGTTAGCTTTCTTATACTGAGTATCTCAGCAATTTGTTATCTCAAAAAAATTTAAATTTTTTATAAGTAATATTTACTGAAATTGTTGGTATTGTTATTTGATTATTTAGTTCTAAAAGTTGTTTTATGGTACAAAGAAAAGTTGATCTTTGGTTATTTTTTACAATAAAAGAGGAATAACCCTGTTGTAAGTACAACATGATCATTTAAATCTCCAATTTGTAATGAAAAGTATTGTGGATTTTTTTCACTAGTTTTGAGAATGATGTGATTTTTTTTGTACTGCTATTATGTGAGGCTTACTGAAAGTATTTTAATGATACAAAAATGTGGATAATATTTTACTAATTAAATACTGTATCAAAACATTTAGTGTGTAGCTATGCTTGCAGCTTTTTTTTTTTAAAACAGCATAATAGAAGTCAGTTTTTTTTTTTTTAGAAGGTAGTCATTAGAAAAAGGTTGCTATGGTTTAAAAATTGAGTGATTTTTAAAAACTCAGTGTTGTTAGATGAAATATGATTTGACCTAAAACAACTGAAGTTGCTTCTTGTGAACTTTTCTGAAAACATTATAGGTTATGGGAATTGTCTTCTTTAATAATGTCATTGTCACAGAAGTCTTGTGTTCTTTAGAAATGAGCAGATATGAATATCAGTTTTGAAATTAAAGTCTTCATGGGAAGTTCTCCCAGTGAAACTGAAAAGGGTAGTTTACAAAACATCTATGATACGCAAATAGAAAAGAAACAAATGTATTTTTAAATCAGGATTTTTAAAACCCTTCTAACTTATTTTTAATTGTAGCATAATTGACAAAACCTTAATGAATTCTAATTGTGATTTTTAACTTATTACATTTTAATGGTTTCTATTCTAGACTGAATACTTCTGAGCTATAATTATATGTAACAGGGTAAGAAAACATGTACATTTTACTAGTTCTGTTTTCTTAGTTTAATTTAGCATGTATGCCATGAAAAAAATTCTGTCATTTAGCTATGGAGATAAGCAACTTTAACTGGACCATTATATTTTGTTTAAGTTAGAAAGCTGTCCTTTATTTTTATATATTCATTTATTTTAGAGACTGTCATTTAACTTTTCAGTTGTGTTTGGGAAATTTTTTCTAGTAACATTTTCCCAATTTTCAATATCTTAAGACAGACTATTCTTTACAAATTTTATTGGTTGTATGAAGAGTTTCTTCTCTCTTTTTTAATCTGTTTATCTTAGATCTCCATACCATGTTTTGAAATGGAGGAAGGGGAGCGAATCAAAGCTACAGATCCTTTCATTATATTTTGTTTTGTTCTTGGCCAGACACAGTTTTTAAAAGCTTCTAGGAAAGGCATAGTCAGACACAGTTTTTAAAAGCTTCTAGGAAAGACATAGTAAACACTATCTAAGTGGGGATAATCTGTCAGACTCCAAAAGCAAGCTTTTCAAAATGAAATCTTTACTTTTCTGAGTCAATGATTTTTTATGTGAAGTATTATATATTATTTATTATGTGAGATATATATTTAAGGTATTTTTTTAAATACTTTAAAACTGTGATTCTTGGTGTTGAGAGGGAAAACTTTTATAGGTTATCAAGGAAACTAAGCAAGGATAGAGGACCTAAAGCAGCAGGGCTAGACTTCTAAACATTCTTGACACCAACCAGGCCAAACAAAATATTTCTGCCTGGTAAATGAGCAGAGAAATGGGGCAGAGTACTCAGAACAGGTAACTTGGTGCCAAGCCCAACAAAGGTTAAAATGTGTAAAGACAATTCTGAAAAACTTGCTTTCTAAAATGTAAATCTTTTTCATACAAAAGAAATCAATATTTTTTTCTTAATTTGCTCATATGTAGGCGTATACCGTGCATGAAAGAAAGAATAACTTGTTGTTAAAGAATATTATGTGTGTATATATATACACATATATTTTAAATAATATAATAGTTTATTTTTACATCATTTTACCATCTCAGTTGTAGTCCCTGTGGGCTTCCCATCACCAAATCACCCGTGTGCCATCACCATAGTCCAGTGCATTTCCTCCCCACCCCCACTGTTTTTGATCCCATTCCCCACTCTACCCCCATAAAAAGTCTCTGGTATATAGCTGTTCATTATTATTATTATTATTTTCTAGCCTGGTCTGCTATGAGTGAAACCATCTGGTATTTTTCCTTTTCTTTCTGGTTTACTTCACTAAGCATGATCTTTTCCAGCTTCATCCATGTTGCTGCAAAAGGCATGTGTTTGTTTGTTTGTTTGTTTATTGGTTGCTGAGTAATATTCCATTGTGTATATGTACCACATCTTTTTAATCCAGTCATCCACTTTTGAGCATTTGGGTTGTTTCCATGTCTTTCCAATTGTAAATAAAGCAGCAATAAACATGGGGGTGCAGGTATAAAGAGTATTATATTTTAAGGTAATCTTTGAAACTGTAGCTCAACTATTTTTTCTCAGGATTTATTAATTTCAAATGCCAAATTTCACATTTTTAAATGTCCAAATTTTTAGATCACACATACTTCATTACATTTGCCATGTTCCACAAATTACTGTTTTATTTGTTATTACCTAATTTTAAAAATTTATATAAAAGATACTAGTTTGGGAGTATATATAACGTTGCCTTTCATATTAAAAATATTTTTCATTCAGGAGGTATCTTTGAGGCTCTCCTATATATGCCTAGGTTCTGTCCTAAGCCAGCCTGGTATAAGATTTTATATTCTTATTTATTTAATTTATGTATCTTTTTATATTGTTCATTTTAAGATAATGTTTACTTCCTTAATCCTCCATGGTGTAAGATTATAAACTCAGATCTAGAGCCAGTGTTTTTCCTTTTCTTAATGCAGTGTGTTCAGAGGTAGAAAAAAGACTGGGAAAATGAATAGATTGGTTAATGGAATGAAGATTTACTTAGTTTTAGTAACTAGGAAGAGTTAATTTAGTAACCCGGGGAAAGGATTTCTTTAAAACAGTTTAGGGGCCTCCCTGGTGTTGCAAGGGGTTGAAGCACAGCACTATGAGTCTGTCCACAGCCGCTGCAGCACAAGTTCGATCCCCGGCCAGGGAGGTGACCCACAAGGGGCAGCAGACCTCCTGTCTCGCCTGTTGCTCCCCTCAGCAGTGTATTTCTGTTAATCCGATCTGCTTCTTCTGCTCTCCACTCTTGTCTCTAGTGAATCCCTTCACCTCTGGCCTGTACCCCAATTCTTGTATGCAAAAATAAATCTTTAAAATAAAAACATGTTTGGGAGAAGAGAAGCTTATTTATTATAGGGGTTAAGGAGAACTAGAACAGTAAAGAAATTAAAGTATCAAGTATAGATGATTGTTCTTGGTATTTTGCTAGTGAATAGAAGGAAGATTCATATAAGTTTTTGAATGCATACTAGGCTCTAGAAGAGGTAACTTGAAAATGAGAGCTATATGAGGGCTACAAGAGAGAGCAAGCAAGGAGTTCAGAATCAGGTGCTTACATACATGACGAGAGAGGAAATCACTGATACAGTTGTCTCGGGAACCAAAGAAGCGAGTTATGGGACATAAGTAAAAGGAGATTGGGCTTAGAAGTAGAGAGAAAACGAAGAGCAAGAGGTGAAAATGAATGAAAAGAACAGTATTTAAAGACGGAGAAATCGCATGATTTTGGTCACTCTCAAAAGTTAAAAGTCTTTAATCTCGTTAGGTTGGAGGTGGGGTCCTTGGCTGAATGTACTAGAGTAACAGGGAGACAGGAACTCAAATAGGAAAAACTTTGTGTCGGAAACATATTTGGAAATAAGTGAATTGCAGCAGTGGCACCCCAATTGAGGTTAGTGTAGATTGTGTAGTGATCAATACTATCCTAATGTTCTGCAGCAGGAGTTCACAAAACTATAGCTTGTGGCTTATATCTGTCCTGTGTATCTTGTGAGCTAACAGTGGTTTTACATTCATAAATCAACCAAGCAAAGAGAGAAGGAAGAATGTATGACAGAGGCTGTAGCTTTCCAACACTAAAATACTCACTATCTGGCCCCTAACAGAAAAGAATTGCTAACTGCTGACCTTTGTGCTCTAACTTAGGATCAGAGAAAGAAAATGATAGTGTGATTAAGAGGTGGGAGCTAACATGCTTGACATGATCAGAGATCAAGTGGATGATGAAGTAAGGGGTATTAATGTTGGAGGGGTGCTGGTGGAGGTGGACATTGGGTGCAGATTGATTAGAAGTAAAGTGAAAACAGAAAAAAGTGAACAGATTAGACAAAAGAGTTGGGCATGTAGATAGGGCCCATAAAATAATGAAAAGCATGGCCAGTTGGTATGAAGCAAAAATGACTGTTAAGGAAGTTGGAGATAGAGAATGGGGCTGGTTATCTTAGAAGAGTTCTAGAAATTACTAACAACAACTATTTTGGGGGAGAGCTGAAGTCTCTACTGATGAAGTCAGGATGATAAAGCATAGGAAGTACGATGGTTACGCTCCTGAAGATGATGACAGGGAGACTACATAAGAAATAATGTGATTTAGGTTGTTAGAGATATTGAAGAAAGTGGAAGTGAGCCTGGAGTATAAAGAAGATAACAGTAAAGGGGTAAAAAGAAACTGGGATAAGTAGGTAAACTTCTATAAGGAGGAGGTTAAATGGTTCCGTTTGCCCTGGCAGCTGAGGAAAAATAGTTCTCTCCTCATAGCTTATAAGTGAGAGAAGGTAGATAAAAAGGCAAAAAGGCTGCAGGGAAGATGTGGTTTTCTCTGTAAAAAGTCAGATTTATACATAACATTTGAAGATGGTAGAATCAAAGTGGTGGATGGGCCTCAATTTTAAGATGAAGCCCTCAAAATAAAAGTACTTGATTTCAGCATAGATGTATAAATCTCTTCCTCTAAAGACTTTTTGTGTTATACTTCTTACTATGTAAAAATGCATTTTTGAAATAGTGAAATCATTAAGGGATTTATGCTAAAAAAAATCTTTTACTTAACCATGAACATAGACAAAAATAATTTGGCAGGTGACTTCATTTGAAATATTAAAAAACTTTGTATTTGGTTACCAAGTAACTAGTAGATACCGATAATTTGGGTTGATAGTGTTCCTTTTATGACAACATTAATGTAGAGTCTATATTGTAGTACTTGAAGCTTTTTTATTAGATGTATATGTGGAAAAATGATGTACTTTAGCCATTCAAAAAAATGGGACTTCCCCTAGCCTCTGAAAGACAAAGTAGGAGAGATTAGTAGTTGCTTTGCTTTGTTTTCTATATTGATGGAGAAAATGATTCCTACATGTGGCACAATTAGATAGTATTTTCTGAAGAAAAGAGTTCTATGCTAACAACTAAAAATAAGAGAAGTTGACAAAAGAAAATTTGAATGTACTATGTTTGTAGTTACTGATTCAATATAAATAAGCATCTTTACTTTTTTTCTGGAGAATCAGGTTGTTTTGTAATAATGTGAAATCTTAAATGCCTTAAATTTATTTTAAATGGTACTTTTAATGAATAACCTTTGGACATGCTTTTTTTTTTACTTAAAGATATTTATGCATACAGAACTGGGGTACAGACCAGAGGTGCAGGGGCGGTGAGAGGATTCACCAGAGAGAGTAAGGAGCAGAACAGGCAGATTGACGAAGTACACTGCTGAGGGGAGCAGCGGGCAGTCAGCAGAGGTCTGCCACGCCATGTGGATCTCTTCCAGGGCCGGGAATCGAACTCAGCACTGAGGCTGCTGCCGCCAGCTTGCAGAGCTGTGTCCTAACCCATTGTGCTACCAGGAAGGGCCTGGACATGCTTTTAGGGATTGATTTTTTTAAAAAAGATTTATTTATTTATGTATACAGAACTTTATTTATGCATACAGGCCAGAGGTGCAGAGGCAAGAGAAGATCCACCAGAGACAGAGTGGGGAGCAGAACTGGCAGATCGACAAAGTACACTGCTTAGGGGAGCAAAGGGCAAGACAGGAGAGGTCTGCTGCACCATGTGGGTCACCTCCAGGGGCAGGGATCAAGCATACTGAAACAGCTGTGGCTAGCTTGCAGTGCTGTGTTTTAATCTGGGAGGGAGGGCCTTTAAGTATTGATATAAACTTCTTTTGAGTCATAGGAAGATAGTACCTTGACTATATAATATATTTAATTTTAATTTTGTCTTTCCCCCCCCTCAGTTTCCATTACCAAGAATATAGCCAAAGCAACCCAGCGTTCAATGCAGACTTCACAGAAAACTGCTGTAATATTACCAACACAGCAGATCAAGAAATCAGGTCGGGCTAAACCACCAGTCCCCAAGAAGAGAGCTTCTGTTAAAAATCCCACCCCAAGGAAAAGAGGGACAACTTCAGGAAGAAAGGTGAGTTGTATATCCTAGTAATTTGTATTATTGATTTCTGTAGTGCTTATTAATTGTAATTTATGGGAATTTACTAAAAATGTGGTGAAGCCCTTTAGGAATATACCAAGATTATAGTCCCTTTATGGCTTATAACCATTAAGATTTGGTATTTCTTTTATTGGGTAGGCAAAATTTTGAATAGTGTTTACCTTCTTTAGCACCACATACAAAGTACTTATGTACATGTAGATAGGTTCAGACAGTTTGTTTTAAACTCAATATGTGTTAAAAACCATGTGAAGTAAATTTTACTATACATAAATTATACCTCAATAATCCAGGGCAGAGAAGGAGAAATCAGTGTGATAAATTCAATGAAACTGGAGTCATATTCTACTGAACTGATTCACCCAAATAAAACAACTCTTCAAGCCTGGGAATAATAGAAAAGGCTGTTACTTGAAGAGACTGGAGAGTGAATAGAAGCAGATATAATGTGGTGGGGAAAGAGGTTACATACAGCAAGAGGAGTGTTATGCGAACTTATGTATTTGGCCTAAGTACTCCCCAGGAATGAGGGTGAACTACAGACATTTTTAATACAACCATACTAAGAGAATTTATCATTCATTGACAGACAAGCCTTATAAGAAATGATAAAGGCAGTCTATCTCTGGGTAAATGAAAATGACTTTCATTTTTTTCTTATTAATTTCTTTATAATGTGACTATTTAAAACAATTATAATGTAGTCTTCTGGGATTTATAGCAGTGTAGTATATAGAATAATTGTAGTATAAAGGCTTGGGTTAGAAAACATAGATCTGTATCATTGCCAGGCTTCAGCATTTTATGTGAAGTGGTACAGTATTAATTTTATATGTTATTGTATGTTGTAATTCCCAGGACATGTTATAAAAACACAAGTGCAAAAAGTACTGCTAAAAAGCCAATAGGGAAATTAAAATTAATTTCTAAGGAATATTGAAGTAATCAAAGAAAGACCAGAAAGGAGAAACAGGAATAAAGCACTCAGACCCAAATATATTGATAATTACTTTAAAAATCAGTGAATGAAACTCTCCAATTGGAAGACAGATTATCAAAAGGGATTTTTAAGTTCTAAATGTACTCTGATTAGATCTACACTCAACTATATATAAAAATGTGTTAGAACCGAATTGTTTCAACAGTATTAAACATTTCTGAGGTCTGCTATCTGATATCAATATATATAACATTTCTGCGTCGATTCAACTAATGCTTGCAGTATGGAGCAAAATGACTATCATTTTAATTTAAAAACAATACTAGCATTTTTATTTTAAAAAGCATTTAGAATTTATAAAATACAAATCAGAAATTGATAAAATTGAATACATTTCAAATATAAAGCCATAAACTAAGAAATCAAACACTGTTCTAATATAAGTCATTAGCAAATGAAATTTTTTCAATTAAAAATAAACAATATGAAGAATTAATAAAATTTAAAGGGAAGTAATATTGTAAATCCACTTTTAAATATACCAAGGTCATTGTTGCATATTGTAATGCATATTTTCTAGCTGCTGAAAGTCTGTGATTAGTTGATAACATGTTAAAGATAAAATCCCAGATAGTTTGTTGTGAATCTTTTATTTTCAAATAACTTCAGTGCTAACTTCACAGTTTTGAAGAGACCTTTTGAATATATTAATATGGTGGTGGGAAAGGGGGACAGATAACTATACTTTTGTATAAACTCTTTGTTTCAAAGGACAAAGGAATTTTTCAGTTCTATTTCTCTAGCTTCATTGTTTCATCATGAAAAGATGGAGATTCTCATGCAATTACCCACATTCATGGTTATGTAGAAAGTCTTTGAACTAGTATGAGAATTAATTTTGCAGTAGAGCCTTTCCTTTGTCAATACTCATTTCTCCACCTTAAGGATTCTATGGGTATAGCGGCACTCTATCCATAAAAATCTACCTTTATTCACGTTGCGGTCTTAATACAAATGTACTATTGATATCTTGTTAAATCTTAAAGAATTTGGATTTTAGAATTTTAAAATACCGAAAGAACAGTAATATGCCAACACAAGAATTGTATTTCAATACTTAAAAACATGATTTATTAGAATACTGTGAACCCAAATGACAGTTATTGATTTTTTACCCTATTAGAAAGAAAAAAATAATAATAGAAATTAGAGCCAACATCTATTTTCAATCCTCACAACAATTCTATGACATAGGATTATTAAACTAATAAGACAATTATGCTAACAATTTTGAAAAGAAAATTTAGAACTTTAATAGCCTTTCTTAACTAGGATTCTTTTTTAAATGAAATACCATTATTTTACATCCTAGTTGGTTTTTCCACACTATACGATTTCTCTCCTCAGGTGTGGTCACTTAGCTTTCCCATCACCAAACATACCCATATTCCTCTACTATTGTCCATTGTGTTCTCTGACCCATTTCTACCCCTTTCTCTTTCTTCCTGAATGCCTCAGATCCTTAGTCAGCTTTCCAGGGTTTGTTTTAATGTTTGTCTTTGTCTTACCCTGTGGTTGGTTTCTCTACAGTCCATTCTTTAAATCAATCAGTTCTTGTGTTTAGCTTAGCATATAGTTTCTGTTCCCTTAAAAATACCAATAGATGCCAGATAGATGATAGAAAGAAATTTAGCTGATTTTTATAAATTGAGTGTTATAACTTAGTCTTATTAGATAAAGGATATTAGAAAATATGAGTATATTAATTTAGCTTCCTGAGGTCGACCAACTACAATCAGGGAACAAGTCTGCCTGTATAGGAACCTGGGCCATCTGTGCTCTAGAACTAGATCAGAAGAGCTCAACCTTATCTGTGGATTTATAAGCAGATCTTTAGTATCAATTCAGACTAATCACTCTTGTCAGATGGAGGTATGCAAGTATTTTCTCCCTATCAGTAGTGTGTCTTCATTTTGGTCACTGTCTCTTTCACTGTACACTGTTTAATGTAGTCCCAGTTGTTTATGTTCATCTTTGTTTTCCTTGTTTGGAGGTGAATCCACAAAAATGTTCTAAAGTTTTTGTACAGTCAGTTTAAATGAATAAAGAAAAATCCAGCAAAACTGAATGCTAACCCTGTTTCTCCCCCCCCCCTTTGTTCCTGATTTTAAATATCTTCTTTTACCTTTTTTAGGCACAAGAGCCATTTCTCTGATATTGGAGAACCATAAAAGGTTGCTCCAAGAAAATCGCAAGAGTTGATCTAAAACACTGGTGATGTTTAACAATACCCAGAAGATTTTTGGTTCTTTCTTACATATAATAGATTTTGTGTTGTACTCTAGAAAACCACTTGTAATTTTGTGACAATTATCATATGTAATATGGAAAAATGCCAGTTATGTACACCTGATCTTTGCCAGATGAGTGGCTGCTTTCTACATAAAAACACTGTTCTTTGATCTTGAGTCAGTGATACCAGTAATTTTCTGACGACCTTATTATCTAGAACTTTTAAAAGGTAATATCTATATTGCTCTTTTTTGTTTGTTAATAGGAAAAGCCTTTTCCTGCCTTTTGTTCCACCTCTTCAGCTTCTATAAGTGCATTAGCCAGAGAACGTGGCTTTTCATATGATAAGAATATCTCTTCTGGAATGTGTAAAATAGTGATGTCTACAGGTAAGTTAGTATTTTTAAAGAGCATAAAATTACTAAGCTTACATTCCATGCTATTCTCAATGTCTTTGAAGTCCTGGAAATAAAGAAGAAGGAAAATAAAATAAATATTTCTTTTAGCATGTTTCACATTAAAGTTTTCTGAAATGGTAGTTGTTCATTTACTATTCAGTAAAACAGCATGCTGATTCAACTCACTTGAAGACTCAGTATCCTTAATTTTTTTAATCTTAGTAAGATTTATAAAATTTCTACATTATTGTCAGCTCTATTCTTATTTCCCTTCATAATGTGTCTTTTGACTTACATGTATTTTTTAAAGTCCCTCCCAATCTTTTAAAAATGCCTCTGAAAATCTGAGCAGATTCTTGTCTGTCAAAGAGCATGATGACTAAATTGTTCTTTGTTATTTGAAGAGAGTGAAACAAAACAGGCCTAGACTAATCAATGTCTTTCATTTATCAACTTCTGCATGTTTCCTTACTCCTTTCCTATATTTTAAAGCATGTTCTCTTATTTCCTTTCCTAGGTGGTCTATTGCTTCCTAATAGGCTTTTTTTATTCTAAGGAGAATATTTATTTTTAAATTGTTTGAGCGAAACCCTGCATGTATATAAAGAACAGTTTTATTTTCTTAGCGTTATGAGAAAAATTTCTTTAGGTTACTAAAACTTTCTGTAACATATAAAATTATTTGGTTACTTTAGAAAATATAATGGAGGTGCAATATTGGTGATTTAAAATAAATTTAGTCCAAAAAGGAGTTTATTGACATGACCAGTTTTAAAAGAAAATTCTTAACACTATGTATAGCTAGAAGGTAAAAACATCAGCTTAATTTTTTTTTACCATCTTATATAATGTGGGGAAATGTGTAAAGAATTATTTTATGATGCCACTAAAATGTCTGTAGTTTTTATTATCAATTTGGGGAAAATTCTAGACAATGGAATAAACAGAACCATTTCTTTCCATGTTAATATCTTCACACAATGTGAAACATACATATACATTCTTATTTTTAGGTAACAGAAACCATCTATGAACTATAATTAAGTTCTCTTTGAAGCATGGATAGTGAGATATAGTAATTATATAGTGCTTATTTTCCTTTTTAACCAATTTCATTGTTTGTATCTATATACACATTTTCCCTCAAGTGTGTGTCTATATAAACAAAAATGGAGACTGTGGTCCTCACTTGGACCAGAAGAAAATCCAGCAGCTGCCTGACCACTTTGGCCCTGGCCCAGTTAATGTGGTTCTTCGGCGGACTGTGCAGGCCTGTGTGGATTGTGCCTTTCAAAGTAAGACTGTTTTTGGATTTCTTAAGCCAGATCATCGTGGAGGAGAAGTGATAACTGGTATGTCATCTAATCTTTTAGTCACCTTTTTTTCCAAATTTGGTTTTAGGTTTTGAGAAGGCAAGGATTTTATTATACATACACACACATACATATAATTTTATAATATTTATATTGAGAGATACTATAAAGTGAAGTAAAAGGTATGTATAAGTTGTTATTTTGTTAAGGTCACTATAGACAAAGTCCCTATCTTGATAATATTTTGATTACTTTAGAAAGCAGACTGATCTGTAAAAAGCTCTAGATAAAGTGTACTCAAGAAATAATTGAGAAATAGCATACAACTAATTTTCATGTTTATGTGATCTACGTTTCAGAATGCTGTTACCGGTCCAGGCTATTGTGTTTGAATGAGAGGAACTTTTATAATTTAAAATTATTTCTTTAGAAATTACAAAAACTACAAATCAGACTCAAATATTTTTCATAAATTGATGGGGTTTTTTTGATGTTGTAGTTCTCATCTTTTTGTGATATAATTCTGACATCTTTCTCCTTGCTCTGCCTAAAAGCTACCTTTGATGGGGAAACTCATTCCATCCAGCTCCCTCCGGTGAATAGTGCATCATTTGCGCTTCGCTTTCTTGAGACCTTGTGCCACAACCTGCAGTGTGATAACCTTTTGAGTAGCCAGCCTTTTAGCTCTTACAGAGGTAATACCCATAGCCTTGCAGAACATGATAAAAATAAATCAGGTGAGAGAAAATATATTTTTTATTCTCTGCTAAATTTAAGATGAACCTTTTATAATTATCTTGAAAATCTCATGTAATTCAGTATGTTTTAATCTCACTGTACTCCTCAAAGTAAACATTTTAGTCACAGTGCACTAGTTAGACACATACATAATTGTTTTGTTCATTGAAAGTGGGAAATTAATATTTTTTGTATTCATAATGAATTGTGTTCTTTGTCTTTTTATTATCTAGAAAACTTACTATTTATATATTTTTGTATTTAAACATTATATAAGCTATTTATATTTGTTATATGTCTATAATACATAGAATTCTTTATTCTGGATACAAGTTCCATATCAGATATATACGTCACAGAAATTTTTTTCCCACTCTGTAGGTTGTCTTTCTTTCTTTCGTGAAGTTATTCTTTGAAACATAAACATTTTTAATTTTAAGTCCAGTTTATTTTTTTCTTTTGTTTCTTATACTTTTGGTGTCATTTCTTAAAAAACATTGCTTAATATAAGTACACAATGATTCCTGTGTTTTCTCTTAAAAATTTTGTAGTTTCATCTTACATTTATTTAGGTCATTGACTATTTTGATTGAATTAATGTTTCTGTATGTTGTGAGGTAGGGGTCCAATTTCATCCTTTCACATGTGCATATGCAGTTGTTTCAGTCCATTTATTGAAAAGAATACTTTGTTGGCAGCTTTGTCAGAAATCACTTGAATGTATATAGGATTATTTCTGGACTTTGACTTCTGTATGTCTATCTTCATGGCAGGACCACACTGTCTTGATTACTGTAGGTTTTTGTAGTACGTTTTAAAATTGAAAAATGAGTTACAATTTTGCCTTTTTAAAGCTTTGTTTTGGCTGTTGTGGATGTTCTACATTTATATGAATTTTAGAATCAGCTTATTAATTTCTGCCGTTAGTATTTGAATTGGAATTGTGTTGAAGCTGTCTATCAATATGGGGATTCTTAATAATCCTGAGTCCACCAGTCCACAAACATGAGGTATCTTTCCACTTATTTAGATCTAGTTTGCTCAGCTATGCTTTATAGTTTTCAGAGTGCATACCTGGTATTTCTTTTGATAAATTGATCCTTAAACATTTTATTCTTTTTCATGCTTTTGTAAATGGGATTGTTTTCTTAATTTTTGGATTATCATTTTAAATATCTAGAAATATAGCTGAGTCTTTGTGTAGTAATTTCAGTGTTTGGGTGTCCTGAAGAGACAGTTTCTATTGACTGATTTTTTTTTCTGTATATGGGCCATTCTCATCTATTTCTTGGCATGTCTCCAAATTTCTTAATTTAAAACTGACACTTTAAAATAGTATAGTGCAGCAACTCTGAAAATCAGATTCTCTTTCCCTTGATAGGATTTGTTGTTGTTTGTTGTGCTGTTTGTGTGTTTGAGTGAGTTTTCCCGGACTAATTTTTGTTCAGTGTGTCTACCGAAGTTTGCTCAGTTAACTTAGTGGTCATCTGGAAACTGTAGTAGGCATTTTTGAAATCTGCGTTGTGCCGAGGCTCAAGGTAAAAAAGAAACGAAAGATTATGGCCTTCTCAGGTTTTCCAGAGCTTATATCCAACCCTTCACTTGCATGTTGCCTTCTTTATTCCCAGAAGTCTCTCAGTGCTTTCAAAGGCCCCTAGGGGGCATGTCTGCTTCTTCTTTTTTAAATGTAGCAAATTTACCTTTCTTTCTAGGATAGCTTCCATTTATTTATTTTTTTTGTGTGTTATACTTGACTTACAACAATATATTAGCTTTAGGAGCACAGCATAATGTTTCAACATTTGAATACATTGTGAAATGATAATCACCTTCGGTCTATTTCCCATCTCTTCTCTTACCATTTTCAAAATAGTAATACAGTATTATTGCCTGTAGACTCCATGCTGCATATTACAGTCCCATGACTGGCAAACTTTTATTTCTTGATCATCATCCAACTTCTAAACATTTTTACCAGCTTTTTGCCAGCCCCAGCAGGTAACACTTCTTCAGGCAGCATCTCCAATGCCTTGAAGATAGAACTTTGTACACAGTGGGCTCTGACTCAGGTCAAATAAAACAAGATCTGAGATTGGAGACTAAATGAGCTATAAGATTGGTCAGATAGTGGCTGTTCTCTAGGGATGGGACTTACGGAGACCTCTAAATCCATTTCTCTCATTCCAGTGACTTCTAAGATGCTAGTTTTCATAGCTACCAAAGTAGTAAAGGTGCTGGTATGCAAGACTGCTTCAGGACTGGTTTGAGAAAGATGGTATTGGGGGAAGCTAATTTATTGTTCTGAGATTCTGCCATTTTTTGTAATAAATATTTTTTGGATTGTTGTACTTCTTTAAATGTCCAGAGTTTTGATCAAGTTAATTTTACCAGTATTTTTAATTATCTTTATAAAGGAGTAGATTATCAGAAGTCTCTCTTTCAGCCATCCTGGAAATATTTTTCTGTGATGACTTTTAAAGTAATTTGTAAATTATCTGGGATTTTTTAGTTATCTCTGCAGGAAACATTTCATACCTTATTTACTCTGATACCTGTAAGCAGAAATCAAGAACCAGTTTTATGTTTGTGTCATTCCCAAGAAAGTACACCAGCTTCATAAACTTGTAAAGAAAGCACTAGAAATATTAAAAGTAAAAGATAAGTAAAGACTTTCTGATCTTACTTAGAATCTGAGTAAATGTAGACCTGTAGAAAACTGTACTTTAGTATTTGAAATGTCTGTATTATTTAATGAGTATGAAAAAAATGAATAAATTTCTTTCCTTGGGATTTAAATATCCTAATTGTAGGAATAGGTATTTGCTTAAAATAGTGCGTGATTAAAAATAAAATCAAGCAGTAAGAGCTCTTATACTCATTAGTCATCAGTCAGTAACTGGGTGGCAAACAGTTGTTCTTGAGGTGGTTTTGAGAGCCATGCCTGCTCCCTAGTCATTTTCAGCCAGATGGAGTTTGACTTCGGTATTTTCTCATTGCAATCTTTTTCCTAGAAGTCTATTATTAGATTCTTTAGATTTCTATTATGCTTTAGCTTTTCTTTTAGTTGGAGGTTTAACCAAGATACAGGCTGATTTAGGGTGTAACTGATAATTTGAGATGTCTTTACTTGTAGGATCATGCCTTAAAGAGTGGTCCTTTAGGTAGAAATACATTTGATTGACTAAATAAATAGTAGAATTGTTGTAAGGTAGCCCTAGGCCAGGATTGTTGTTTATAAAATGGGATATTGTTTTTTAGGTCTTCTCTGAATTCTTAATTTTTCTTGTTCATGGGAGCAATTTTCCTAGGCCTTTTTAGACACCTTTTAATCGGTTGCCTCATTGCTTTCTGAGGTATCTAGAGAAATGTGATAATGCCAGAATAAAGGAAACCTAGATATATCCCTTTGGAAATGCGGTTAGCTCTTGAATATGATGTTGCCTGCCATATTTAATCAGATGAAACAAACTTGTTATTTATAAACAAATAATTAATAGTTGATGAAGTTATAATAGGCAGAGGGTTTAGAAAGAAGTGTTTCATGCTGATAAGAAACTATTTGAGTTTATTAATTAGTTGTAACAGACATCTTTTATTTGAAAACAGTAAAAGAAGATGTAGAAAACAAAAGCATCAAACGACCTTCTGAGCAACCTCCACCTTATATTATTCCGCTCTCTCCTAAACTACCCAAAACAATGGTGCAAGCCACTAAAGGTAAACAGTATTTACACATCAGGATTGGGGAGAAAAATTTCTCCACTTAAGTGTACTCTTAGGTGGTCTTGTTGGGGGTGCATTTGCCCACATCTGTTTGGAAATGAGGCTGCTGCTTTGGTAGTTTTATCAAACTCTTCATTTTCTTCAGAACTGCTTCATTGTCATTTATCCTTAGATTAAAAAAAAATTAGTGATATTTTCTATTAAGCTTTGTATTGCTGAAAGCTGATTAAAAAAAAAAGGGATAGGAAAACTTAGTGCCTTTCTCCAGTGAAAGTTTTAAGTACTGAAGTTGTTAGCAAATACTATAAATCAGATGTGTGATCATATTAGAACAAATAGTTGTAAATAACTGTTTTCCTCAAAATCAGTGCTTTAGTGAGATGTTCATAACCTTGGTGGCAAGACTGGTATAGCTCTGTTGTCATGGGAAATACAGGAGATGCCATGGAATCAATTTGGATTTTAGGACAGTGTTCAGTACTATAAACACCAAGAAGGGAATGGCCATGTACTTTGTTTTAGGTGCTTGTTTGCGGTTCAGTTTTAGCACAGTTTAAGTGAATTGTTGGAAACTAGGAGATGTTTTATCTTTTATTAGTATCTGAGCTGTCATTCTGTTAAAGGTAACCCGCCTTTGGGGCCCTCCCTGGTGGCACAACCGGTTAAAGCACAGCGCTATGAAGCTGTCCACACCTGCTGCAGCACAAGTTTGGTTCCTGGCCAGGGGGTTGACCCACATGGCTTGGCAGACCTCTCCTGACCCACCTGCTACTCCCCTCAGCAGTGTATTTCAGTACATCTACCTGTTCTTTCCCCACTCTCACCCTCTACACCTCTGGCCTACACCCCACTTCTTGTGTGCATAAATAAATAAATATATATATTTTTAAAGGTAACCCCCTTTGTATTTTTTTCTTATAGAAGAACCATTGTCTTCTGAGGGCAGTAGCATGCCCAAATTGGAGAAGCTTCCTGACGATTCTAAGACTCCACCACTAAATCCAGCAAGTTCTTTGAATCCTGTCTGCAGAATTCCTATGAGCATGTCTACTGTAGTCTTGAAGAATTTTTCTCAAAGTATGCCAGGCATCTCAAGCTCAGCACTGGTGGGGACCACATCATCTACCAAGAGTAGTCACCATGAAGTGAAATTCCAAGTACAGAGGAAAAATGAAGGTATATTTAAAAATTGTGATTCTCAATCAGTGTGTTTGTCTTCCCCCCTAAGGTTTCTATAGCAATAATATCCCCTAAGAGTATATCACATTGGAGAAAGTACCAGAATTAAAGAGGTCATGTCTTTGCCTTCACATCACTGTCAAGACCAAGCCCCTGGATACTACAGTCCATGGCATCACTGATTTCTGGGGGATCACTAACCATTAGAGATAGAGATGTCTCAGATCAGTTGTAATTAATTATTGGGTGTTGTCGGGATTCAGAAATCTCCCATGACACTGAGGCTTAGAAATACACACTCCCTCTTTCTGACATATGCTCTCTCATCTTTCTTGAGACTTTTGTCCCCAACCTATGTGTGGCTCTCAGACCTGGGCTCTAGTATTGCTGTATCCATCTAGTATTGCTGTCTCCATATCCTCAATCTTTCTGACCTATCAGAAAGACATGAAATATGTAAACAAGACAGCTTCTTGTTGCCATTTAGAGGAGCCAGAAAAGCATTCCCTGTGCAAATATAGCTATTACCCTTTCAGATATTTAAGGGTGAGGGAAAGGTAAAGGAGAAATAACTTTTTTGTCCTTTTTTTTCCCAGATAGGAATCTAGGCAAAGTTGGGGAATGAAGGGAGTAGGAAACAAGTTATCTCCCTTGCCTTTTATCATGGATATTATTGATGGGCAACTATACTGAATACATGCTGTGGTGGACATTTGATTCGCTCCCATTGCCTAGTCCCTGTGCATATTGTCTCTGCTTTTAGAATTATGCTATTTGCAGAGTTTGAAGAAAGATGTTTATTCCATGAGAGCATAGTCTACCCTGAATTTTTAGATACTTTCCCAAAATAATGAGCTTTTGAAGGCAGGCTTTTTCAAAGGATCTTAAAAGGTTATGTCTAATGTTGAATATCTCATTTCCACATGCCTAACACTACCATGCCAAAGTATCCTAGGTTGCGGTCCTTCTAGTCCTTCTAGAAAGGCTAATAGTAATAACATTGCCTACTAGTTATTCACGTAATAGTAAGAGAAAACATCATCCTCACAGTACTTGCCAGGCACGTAATATTATGTAGAATTATGCATTTAATCTTTACATTTCCTTGAGATATAGGTGCTGGTAAGCATTTTCAGGTGAGAAATCTGATAAATATTTTCTACGGTCCCCTAAGTAGAATGTGACTGGGCCAGTCCTTGAGCCTCAGGTGCTCTGTTCCAGGACTGTATTCTTAACTGCCGTGTTGCCTATATTTCTTAAAAAAGGTATTTCTAAAGAAGGGGTTTTCATTTGGAAACTATCTAGAGGTGTTGTTACTATTACTTTCTTTATGGTATTGGATATGTTACTTAAAATTGAGTATACCCCTGTTTGCTGGTGATAGTCACACAAAACCCCTGCCCTGTCACATTATTTGAATGAAAGAATTTTTTGGTTTTTACTATAGGAAAGAAATAAAAAACATAATTTGCAATGAAATCAGGTCACTTTCATTTTATTAATTTCATAAATACTTACTAATAACACTAGTGTATATAAGACAAAGCCATGTGTAATGTTTGCAGCCTTCTCTGATTTTGAAGGTATGGGTCTGATCAAATTATTTTTTTATAATAGATTAAAATTAGAAGATCTTGTAGCTTTATTTTAATATGAAACCAAAGTATCTTTATATGTATTTTATCTGTAGTGATCTGTAAAACTTGTTAAATGTTTTCAAAAGATAACTATACCAGATTCTGAAGGCAGAAACACCCCTCAAAGTCAAATCAATTTATAAGTATGATTAGTGTTGCCAGTACTTTTTAAATAAATTTAGTCTCTGAGTTAAACATGACTTTTCTGTCTAAATTGTTAGGATGCCTTAAGTTATAAAGCATGTTCTATGCCATCATTTTTATTTGGGTTGATATAGCCCAACAGTATTTCTTGGCAGATGAGAACAACATTTTTATATTTGACAAGTGGAAAAAAGAATATATCTCACATAAAAGTTTCAGTATTGAAAAAAATAAAATTCTCAACTACACACAAAAAGTCAACCATTGTCTCATTCTTTTTTTCTTCTGTTTTTCTTTGCCCTTTCCTTGGTAGATACTGAGAAAGCTCCTAAAGAAGCCAGTGCCTAGGAGCCTCCCTGGTGGCGCAGGGGTGGGTTAAAGTCTTAGTGCTGTCAAGCTATCGCCAGCCACTGAGGCATTAATTCGATCCCTGGCCAGGGAGATGACCCACAGGGTGAAGCAGACCTCTCCTGTCTTGCCCACTGCTCCCCTCAACAGTGTATTTCAGTCAAGCCACCTGTTCTGCTCCCACTCTGTCTCTGGTGAATCCTCTCACCCCTCCGCACCTCTGGCCTACACTCTAGTTCTTGTATGCCGTAAGTAAATAAAAAAAAATCTACAAGAAAAAAAAAAAAAAGCCAGTGCCTACATGATAGGAAAGAAAAGGTACCCTTTGGCTAACTAACACATAAAAAGAACAAATTTGTACTGATGGTCTTGGTTAAAAAAAAATCTTCCTAGCAAATTATAAAACCTACTTCTGTTACCATGTACTAACTTTCTCATTGTGTAAATAAATGACTACTTGTTTGGATGAAAAGGCATTTCAGCACAACTTAGGTGAACAGCACAGCTAAAATTGAGGTATGAACACTTTATTTCATGTCTCAGTTCTTTCTTTTTTAAACATACAGATCTTCAAACAATTTCCATGCCATTCATTTCTGTTGTAGCTAAACAGAAAACAATCTATTTTCTTCAAAATTCAGTAAAGCATTCAAGTTTCAAAATAGAAATTTAAGTAGTAAAGCAGTGCTAAAAATATTCATATTGAATTAATACATGGGAGAGATTTGATAAAACAAGTGTTTTGGTTCTTCAGGATAATGAGGGTTACTAAATTTCATTGATTAAAGTGACTAAATTTAAGCAAATATTCAACAAAATTTGGGGAATTTTCATGTATTAGCTAGTAAAATAATCAAGGTAGAAAGATCAAGAGGAGAGAGATTGAGAGAAATTCACTAAAATAACTTAAAGTAAGAGCAATAGATTAATTTAGACTAACCTGATTTAACCCTAGTAACAGATCTGCTGCATTTGCCTGTGGCCAGAGTCCTTGGGTAGCTCAGTCTGTTTTAATGATCTTTACAACTATAAGGTAACTTCTGAAGCTGCTTTTATTGTTTTGGGGGGAGGTCAGATGGGGCTCTCGTGGGTAGCCATCTTCAGATCATTTTATTTAGGCTTTCACTGGATTTTACACTTGGAGTCCTGGGTCCTGGCTGGGGTACTTAGCAGAAGTTTCCAGGAATGAGACCATTATTCCCTACCTAACATCTCTTCTTTCAGGATAATGATCAGGTCAAGTATGATTTGTTTTTTTTCCCCCCATTGAAGCTCCAAGTTATATAGCTGTACCTGACCCCAGTGTCCTGAAACAAGGCTTCTCTAAGGACCCTTCAACCTGGTCTGTGGATGAAGTGATACAGTTTATGAAACATAAAGATCCTCAGATATCAGGCCCCCTCGCCGACCTCTTCAAGCAACATGTAATGTATCTTTTGATCCGGTTTTCCTGCCATAATGCCTTTGAATGACCTCTGTGCAGGCCCTTCAGTTGGATACTGATTAGTGTGGATGGTGGGGGAACCCTATCAACCGATTTTCCATATGTGAGAAAAGTTATGTTGCCCAAAGTTAGATCCTCAAATGGTGAGGCTGGCTCTGTGCTTTAAATGGGTACCCAAGTACCTAAAATACTACAAGTCTTCAAGTTCTCAAGAGAAGATGATTCAGCAAGGCCACTCTCATGTGTCTTCTTTGTAAGGACAGCTACAAGGATCCTCCTCCCACCTGCTCCCTGCTCGGCTCCAGGACCATGAGTAGGAGGGATTTATCACGAGCTGTGACAGGGTATCCTCCTTGTTATGATGCCTGAGGAATCCAGCAGCTGTATGAGATTAAGTGCAGCTTTATTTTAAATAGGAACTTCCGAATATGAAATAACATGCTTCCACGACTAATATTTGTTAATTTAAAGAAAATAAAGAATTTTAGGAGGATGCCTTGTGTCTTAAATAATGATTATAGTCTTTTTCTGTCAAATCAGATTGGTGACCAAACATTTGATGTACGTTTTTAACATTGTAAGAAAATCAGTAATTATTGTAGCATCTAATTAACTTCACACAACTGGTTAGCTTTTCAACCTAAAGACAACTCAGTACATTTACAGTTTGCATTGATGCTGATATAATCATTTCCAGCCTTCCTAAGAAAATTATGACTGTCTGAATTTCATTTCTGCAGTTCAGTTTCTACCTTTTGTCATAGATATCTAGTATTTTATTTAATACACTGTATTTAAAATTAGATATTTTGGTGCTTTGGCCTTTTTTCAAAAACTGGGTTAAATTGCCTTTTTTCAAAAATTGGAAGTGATGCTATTTATGAAATGTTTCACTAGGTTTCACTGTATAAATTATATTTTTAATAGTTTTCAGGAAATCTTACTCAGAGAATATATATCAAGATACAGCTGCTATTTTACATATTCTTATATATAACTGTTTTTGATAAAATATGGAAAGCATTATTCATTCTTATATTTTTCTCTCTGTAGGAAATTGATGGAAAGGCTTTGCTACTACTCAAGAGTGACATGATGATGAAGTATATGGGACTGAAGCTGGGGCCGGCACTAAAGTTATGTTACTACATTGAAAAACTTAAAGAAGGAAAATACAATTGAAAAAAAAAATGTGTAAGTTTAGATTGGACATAATTCTCAATGACATGGATAACTTTTTAATTTAAAGGGTATTTTATTCTCTTAGTAGTTTTTGTTCAGTAGCCAGTTCCTCTAAAACTATATCCAGAATCGCAGAACTACATTATAGTCCAATCTATGTCTTTAAAAACCATTTAACGTGTTAGTATAAGTACATTAGTATATTCAAATTGGACATTAGTTAACTTTTTAGGTCTTTTATTATTTTAATTTATAAATGTACTTCATGCAGGAAACAAAACTCCTTCAATTTTGGTCAATACTTATATAGAGAACCAAAACAGCTAAATCCCAAAGGGGGAAAGTACCAGTAACCGACAAATTTTCTATTTGAATTCGCGAGCAATTATCCTTAGAAAAGAATTTAAAGCTGCACTATACATATCATCTCTTTCTCAGATGTTTGATGTCTGTTACTGCCACAGTGTGCTCTACCAGTGTCTGGCAAGGAAATAGCCATATAAGTTATTTTCCTTTCATTGTTGTTTCTCTGTATGTTTTATTTGTTCATATTTAAAGAAAAAGAAAGCTTATAAACTTTCATAAAGTGTTCTTACCAGTTTTGATACATTTTGAACAATTATAGGATAAATAGAATAGTTTTATGCCAGAAAGCTACTACAAGGGTGGTATTTGGATAAAGTCTGAATACATTTTTTCGATAACATAGCTATCTATTCTTTTAAAACTTAACGTATTTTCACTACGAGTAGACATTTAACTAAACATTCATTTCTCACATCTATATGAATATACACCTGTGCTCAAATTTTAAAAAAATATATATTTTATTGTTTGTGGTTTATTCCTCATATGAAACTATACCATATTTATATGTTATTCTACAAATCTGTTTTTTTTTTTACTTTAATATGGCACTTTGCACTGCCACAGAGGTAATGATGGACTGTGTATATATATATATGTAGTTAGATATTTTATTCTGTAAAATACATATATATCATTTGCTATCACTAATACCTCTCAGCTTAGTCTTCAGGGGATAAGGAACAGTCTGTAGATTGGTTTCCATACAGGGAAGTTCTCTGTCCTATGCAATGTTGCTAGTTAATTTGCTTAGTTCTGAGCCATTTATTCTGCTAAATTTTGAAAGATGTATTAGTTCTGACTTAACCATTTTGGTCTTTATATTTAAAGTTAGAACTTTTAAGGGGAAATGGTGCTATATGTTTATTATTACTTTGTATAACTTTTGGTGTAATGTTTATAAGCTATGAGAATCTGTGCTAAAAGTATTAGCCATTTGTTGTGAATGCCCGTAAATATACACTAGGGGCAAGAATGTACATTTTCTCTTTTAGGAAACCAAATGTACTTTATACAAGAATGCAACTATTTAAAGAGTGATTTCATCTATGTTGTACCTTTTGTGTTATAAGACAAAATCCTAATTTAACGTGGCCTTCCTTCAAATTGTTTGTATGAAGATGCTGTGCCCAGCTGAACGGTCCTCAGGTTTTGTATTAATATTGTTTTACAGTTTTCAGATTTTAAAATATAATAAATAACTGCAACAGTTAATGTCAAGCCTCACATTTGATTTTACTTGCTTTCACTGCATTGCATTAATGTGAGTTTATTATAGTTGAACAAGAAGCAGTGTCTAGTAGCTTTGTGGTTTTCTGTGTCCAAATGCTCGATTGAGCACTTGCCCTCTACCTCTGTCTGCAGGTGGGTTCCGAGGAGCAAAAGGTTGATTGCCTGTGGGGATCTAGAATGAGACTCCAGGGGTGCAGTGAGAAGTTCAGTCAGCGAGCTTTATCTGCTCAGAACTTCGGAATTGGCGGTGTTACTGACGATGCCAGGGCCCCCGAATGTCTCCGCCCCCTCGAGTTCCTGTGTCAAGCTGCCATCCCGGCTGCTCTTCCCATTGGGAGCCAGAAGTCCTGGTGCCTCTGCTGGCGGCTCCCTAACCTACGTGGTGGGGAAGCCTGGTGAGGCTCGGGAGGAGCTGGCCTTCATGATCAGACCCCTCAGCCCGTCGGGCCCAGATGCTGCTGCGCAGTGTCTTGGAGTCAGGGACTTCCCGCTGTTGCTTCGCAGCAACTCTGGAGATGCTGGGCCCTCCCTGAGGTGGGGCTGTCGCACCACTGGCTGGACTGGGATGTGGGTCTGCTAAGACTTTGGTGATTCAGCACCACTCGGTTTTCACTGTCCAGTGTGTAAACTCTTGGCAGTCCGTGTGCGGTTAGCCTCCTGTGCACTTCCAGGCTCTTCAAAGGCTCGTCCTCCAGCTTTGCCTCTCGGTTCATCCTCAGCCTTCCACGGCCAGCAGCACCCCAGGGCTTGAGCGCTAAGGCCCCCTAGGTACATGGAGCATTTGCTTTCCTCTGTGTCGTGCAGTCTTGGGCATGTCTTCTAGGCTAAGCTCCGAAGTAGGATTTCCCAGAATTTTAGACCCGGGCCCCTCGATAGATGTGAAAGAGCCATGCCTTTCTGTAACACTAGAAGTGAAAAATAAAACATCGTGACTAGGAACAATGTAATTGCCAGGAACAGGGCTGCTTGTTCAAACTAGACAGGGGATTTCACTGGCAGCTGAGTACATGAAGAAAGTCGACTTTAAATTTCTAGGACTGTTTTTTCAGCGTGATGCCAGGACTGACAAGTCCACAGAGGCTGGTCCAGGGAACGAGGGGGACCATGGAGCAGGGGTGCAGCCCAGGGCCTGCCTTTGGAACACATGGCAGAGCTGGCCTTCCTAGCTCCCCACATCCCCCCCATCTTGCCCAGCACGTTGAGGACATTGGACCTGGAAAACAGCTCTCTCGGGAGTGCATACTTCGGTCGAGCTTGCCCATTCTCCCTGCTATCTTAGGGCAGCACCTCTGACAGGGCGCTGTCGGCTCTGACGGCAGATGCCTGGGAAATCAGGGGCCTCGTTCCCCGCCTTGAGTTGCCTAGAACATGATGGCGGTGACCCAGCCCTGGAGGAAAGGAGCCTCTCGTGGTCAGAGGATCACCTCCGAGGAGCCGGTTGGGAGTTAGCTCCCAGCAACTGGGAGTGCTGTGGTAATACTTGAGTAATCCAACAAAGCATTCAGGAAGCATTCAGATCCAGGGGAAGGTTACAGCCGAGGGAGGCTGCAAACAAGCTCCGCTCCACCTGGGTCCTCAGCTCTCCCTGCCTTTGGCTGGCCTGGGCTGCTCAGTCCTTTGTGGCAGGGGTGGGGAACATGTTCTCCACAAGGCACAAGGAGTCCAGGTCGGGACAAATCTGTCACACATTCCTTCTAGATTTATATAAAAGGAGTGCAGTGCCTTTCCTTTTCATCTGCCACGGAGACTGACTCGTGTTCTGAAGTGCTGGGTGGTGTGGACAGTCACTCCCACCCTCTTACCCGAAGTTCTCTCCTGTGCTTTGAAGCATAAAGCCACGAGAGGCACTCTGGCGATTTTGAAAGGAGGATGGTAAGGAAAAGCCATTGTTCTCCAGTGCCTGCTCAGGAAGGCCATGGGGTGTGAGCAGAGGGCAGATGTGGGGTGCCTGCTCAGGAAGGCCATGGGGTGTGAGCAGAGGGCAGATGTGGGTTTCCCCAGCAGTCTGAAAGTCATGCTGAGATTCACCCACTTAAGTCGAGCAGGCAGCTGAAACCATTCAGGGAACTTCTCTCCTTGAACCCCTGGGTCTCTAGGAACCCTCCCCCTGGCCGTCTCCTTTCCGGTAGCATGTAACATGGCTTCCAAGAGTCTTTTTGTTGCCTAGACCCAAAAGTGACACTGGGCACTTTCTCTCTGAGCCCGCTGGAGGAGCCAGCGGCCCAGCCCGGTGTAAGTGTGCAGCATCCTGCGTCATGTAGCCTGCTCCACGACTCCTGTTTCCGCATCAGTGTGGTGTTGCCAGACGCGGCCTAAGTGCAAGAGAGCTGGGCGGAGGCTTCTCCAGGAAGAGGAAGAGAACAGGGTAGATCTGCTGAACACAGACGTGCTTCTACCACAAGGTTTTGAACAATTTTTCAGGCTTAAGGGATTGCAGTCATGCTTGGGGGCTGGCCGGGACCGTGGCCTAACTCGGAGAGACTGGTGGGTCTAGTGGCTCATGTGCAAGGAGCCGGGGCTGGGGGTGCTGCATCGGACGGGAGTCCTGTTTCCCTAAGGAAGGCAACATCCTTGCAGTTGCTGCCATGTAAGACTTTGAGGCTTGTGTTACAGATCTTACAATTTTTTACAAGTAGGCAGAAATTTAGATTTTAATGTAGTCTCTGCATTTTAACATGTGAGCATAAGTATGTGAAAACACAGGCCAAGTAAAATGTGCTTATAGACCTAATCTGACATGTGCTAAAAGCTTAAGATCTTGACTTTGGCCCTTGAATTTGGGATCTTCAGTGGTTCTTTATGAGTGTAGAAGCCAGCCCCAGCTTTTGAGATTCTTGCTTCTGCCTGTGAGAATTCTCTCAGTCACCTGTGTTTGGGTTCAGATGCTTCCTCCTGGCACCACCCCAGGCTTTGCTGACCACTGGAGCCCTTTGGCAGCATTTAGAGAGCCACAGTCTCCTGCACTGCAGGTCACGCCAAGCTCTGTGACTCTGAGACCTCTGGGAAGCCACACTTACTCTCACATGACTGAAACCCAGCATGGTCTCGGAGTCATTGTCCACCTGAATTGCTGAGAAAGTCCTGCAACAGGAGGCCCTTGGGTCCTCTTTAGATGGGGTTCCAAGGGCTATGGAAGCAACCAAAGAATTATAAATGGGGGGAGTCACACAGTCAGACTTTCTGGACAGATCACTCTGGCAGCTGTTGGGGATGGAGAGAACTCAGCCAGCAGAAAAGTGGCCAGCGCACGGTGCCCTCATAGTCCTTCCATCCGGGTATTTCCTTGGAACCCCAGTGCCCCAATGATTTCATGTTACTTCTGGGTTCTTAGAGGAGGGGTGATTGGGGGGAACCCTTTCTGTCTGTCACATTCATTCTGGCCACAAACAGTCCCCCACCCC